AGATCAGTTAACATTCTCCATTTGCCTGATTTCTTTTTTACTACAAAAACTGGAGAGTTCCAGGAAGAATGTGAAATTTTGATATGATTTAATTCTAATTGTTCATTAACTAATTCATTAAGCGCCTCAAGTTTTTCTTTAGGCAAGGGCCACTGCTCCACCCAGACAGGGGTGTCTGATTTCCAAGTTAAAGGCACAGCAAGGTGCTCAGCAGTGACCCTTACTGAAAAGGCTCAGGAAGAATTGGAAACCCAAATCCAGATTTATCATTGCCTTTTCTTGTAATGGGTTCCTTTTTTGACTGAGTAGATTGAATAGAATTAAAACCCATATCAAACATCATGTTTTTTACAGTAGAAGGGACATTAGGAATTGTAATCATAGCTCCCCACTGTTGTAATAAATCTCTGCCCCATAGAGTAAGTGCAATAGGAGCAGTATAAGGCTTAATTGTAGCTGGCTGTCCATCAGGGCCTTGACAAGTTAAAGTTTCTACACTCTGTTCTATATTAGACATAGTACCTAACCCTACAAAAGTGGCTTGAACTCTTTGTTTTTTCCAAGAAGATGGCCAATCAAATTTAGCAATTATGGAAACATCAGCTCCAGAATCGACGAGCCCTTCAATTTCAATTTTATCTTGAAATAAAACTTTACATCTAGGCCTAGAATCATTAAGAAAAGCATGCCAAAAAACATGAGTTTCTGTACTTCCAAAACCTCCTATTCTATCAACTGGAGTGGACTTTCCCTTAAAATAAGGAAGCAGTAACAATTGAGCGATACGTGGCCAAATGGTTAGCGCTACCGGTTGAGACACAGAAACTATGACATAAATTTCTCCTTCATAATCTGAATCAATGACTCCAAGATGAACAAACAATCCTTTAACTGTAGAACTGCTTCTACCAATAATTAAACCAACAGAATCTTTATGAATTGGACCATAAACTCCTGTAGTTAAAGTATAGGGAGTATTTCTGGGTGTTAGAGTTATTTCTTCTATCATGGGCAGATCTAAAGCAGCACTGTCACGAGTAGCATGAAAAAGATCAGTAACCAGAGTTTTAGCTGAGTGTTGCTGTGAAATAACATCAGAGGCTTTAGCCTCAGGCTTTGTAATATTAGTAGCTGGGACAAAAGTCTCCTGCAGAGTGGAAATGCCATTAGATTTTAAGATATTTATGTTTTGGGTGATGGCTGAACTGGGGTTGCCGCCGCTTTCATGGCTACCGGAAAGGTTTTGGCTATAGTAGTACCCATTTTGTTCTCCTGGCTCTGCCCTATGTGCTGCTACCCGAGTAATAGGCATAATTAGACCTAAGCTGTTAGAATTTGCAGGTGGTGGGGGTAAAGTAGAAGAGTTACAAGGAAACCCCAATTCATCTAGCAACCTGATGTTTTTAGGGTTGGGAAAAACAGCTCTTTTAATGCGGGTGGACTCATATGTCCAATATTCAACAACTGGAAGTTGAATGGCAGAAGGCGGAGGCCGCTGAGTTACTGAGGGAGTTGGTCTGCTCCTCTCTGGAGATGGCAGATGTGATCTGAGTGGCTTAGGGGCCTCTGCCATGGAGAGAGGAGGAACAAAGGGAGGAGGCTGTGGTGGTGGGAAAAACTGCGAAGTGGGTAGAGGAGGAAAAGCCGGAGGGGGTAAAGAGGATGGAATTACCATATCTAAAAGAGATTCAGGAGGCTCAGAAGGCTGAGTTTTAGTCTTTTCCATCATATCATAACATTCTTTAATAAAACTTTTAAGTTCAGTCATTTTATCCTGTAAAGAGTGTGTAGATGAGGATGGAGACAAAACATTAATATTATTTTCATTGTCCCCTTGTGAAGAGCACTCATCTAAGGAGTCCTCTGTTTTATCAACTTTCTCTTTCTCACTGGGATTGAGTGTTAGAGCCTCAGTTTTGTCTGAGACAGAAAGTTTAGTAAAATCTACCTCGGCACCTGCAGGAGCAGGGGAAGTAGGCGGCTTAGGAACTTTACTTTTGGTGCCTACAAAAGACTGTAAAGCTAACTTAACCAAGT